GTAACCTTATTATAAGCAAAACTTTTTAAAAGTTTAAAGTAAAAGGGCGGAAAGGTCAGGTGATTTAGGGTCCACTATGAAAGATCCAGGGCACCCCCTCAACAGTGCCCCTGATCTGCATAGCTGTGTAGTCAGTATAGCTAAAACATGCTGCGCTCTCTTAGATCAGAAAGCACCCTAAGTAGGGATCTATTTGGATTTAATTTACCTTGGGTGGCTCCAGCAAATGAAACAAGTTCAGCTCTTTCTCTTGGTGCAGAAGAGGGGCTGGGAGTATTTGATAAGGTCATCTGAGAAATCAGTGCTGGTGTTGCAAGTTGCATTCCTATTTATCCAGCATTCTTGCTTTGAACAGAAATACATGACCAAAAGCAGAATTAATTTTGATGAAAGGAAGTATTCATTTTAAACACATATTTCTGAAGCAGGCAAAAACTCTGAAGGGAGAGAGTAGGGAGAAATCCTTCCTATGTTAATTAATTAACTATAGGAAAAACCAAGATAATGCTTCAGAAGACAGAAGGCACAAGCCGCTGGGAAGCCATGAAGTGATTCAAGCAATGTCATCTGGTTATCTTGAGATCAAAAAGTCAATTTTGTGAATAAGAGTTTGGAGTCAGTGGTGGTGGGGATGATTTAGGATGCAGAAGAGATTACTGGTGATTCGGAACAGATAAAATAAAGCACTTCGCACAGTGCATACTAATCTGAGGAATTTGTTCCCACAAGATATGGAGATAGCTTTAGCCTCCTTAAATTTGTGTAAACTAGAGACTATGTCCTAATGGCTATGTGAAACCCACTAGTTGCTGTGAGCTAGCAAGAGCAGAAGGGTTTGGCCACCATGGAAAAGGATGCAGAATTAGGTGAGTTTTTGGTCTTAAGCTAGCCCAGGTATTTTCCCCTTTTCCACCAGTGGATTTAAAGTCTGCCTACAAATCTTCTACTTTCACTCTTGGCATCTTCAAAGTCATGATGGGCACTGTGTCAAAGGAGGGAGGAAGCGCAAGTCGATCCATTTTAAAATAAAAGAACATCAGCATCTGTCAGTGAGGATTTATAAGCAGGCCTAACAGGTAAACAAAATGTTGGAAGATAATGCTATTTAATTGTGATCCTGTGCAGGCTGTTTCTGGAGGGTCTGTAATCAGCAACATCCCATCTAAACAAAATGTTATCTTTGTTTACTATACTTATCTTGTTCGTTAATTGATCCAGTGTTGAGTGTCTCAGCGAACAACACTCCAATTAAAGCCTTTTACCTATAATTTGTTTAGCTCAGATTAAGGCGCAAAGACAGCTGGGGAATGCAGCACCAGAACTCACTGCTGCGCATCCAGGTGATGTCAGGAGATTCATGACCAAAGCATTTGTTGCATGGTAATTTTGCAGAGCATCAGATTATTTGCTCATTTCAATTACTTACACATCCAAAAAAATGTTATGTGAATTGAGCATAAGGAAATAAATAAAATAAAATAAAGGGGTGGGGGTGGGGAGAGACACCTCAAATACAATAACTATAACAGTTCCAGTATTCCTTGATGCAAAACTCTTCACAAGCAGGTCAAAGTGCTTTGGAATAAAACAATACCCCTTCTTCAGGAGCTTCAGAAATTCTTAAAATTAAAAATGCCTTGTTCTTAAAATATAAGCAACTCAAGAACCAGCTTGAAAAGGTTGTAGAGGAATTTTTTGGGCTTGTCGATCGGAATGTCGGCGGTTTGAATCCCCGCGACGGGGTGAGCTCCCATTGCTCGGTCCCAGCTTCTGCCAACCTAGCAGTTCGAAAGCATGTCAAAGTGCAAGTAGATAAATAGGTACCGCTCCAGCGGGAAGGTAAACGGTGTTTCCGTGCGCTGCTCTGGTTCTCCAGAAGCGGCTTAGTCCTGCTGGCCACATGACCCGGAAGCTGTACACCGGCTCCCTCGGCCAATAAAGCGAGATGAGCGCCACAACCCCAGAGTCAGTCATGACTGGACCTAATGGTTAGGGGTCCCTTTACCTTTAAGATGATATTACCATTACAATTCAAGCACCTGAAGGGGCGTTCTACTCCAAAATGTGTTGAGCTACTCTGAAGAGTTTTCTATCACAGAGTGAAACTATGGAATTAAGTTGGGAATCAGTGAGCAAAACCATTCCCTGCGAAGCCTGTGCTCTTTTTCATGGGAACCAACAGCCAGGGAGGGATTCCATAAATTGAGGACCCGGGAGCATCTGGTGCCTTTACCATGCAGATTTTGGTAAATGCTGAAGATGCATCTCTTTTACCCTGAAATGTCTGTTTTCGAGACCTGTCCATTTTCTGTGAGTGTAATTTGTTTTAGAGGGACGCGGGTGGCGCTGTGGGTAAAACCTCAGTGCCTAGGACTTGCTGATCGCAAGGTCGGCGGTTCAAATCCCCGCGGCGGGGTGAGCTCCCGTCATTCGGTCCCAGCGCCTGCCACCTAGCAGTTCGAAAGCACCCTAAGTGCAAGTAGATAAATAGGTACCGCTTTATAGCGGGAAGGTAAACGGCATTTCCGTGTGCGGCACTGGTGCTGGCTCGCCAGAGCAGCTTCGTCACGCTGGCCACGTGACCCGAAAGTGTCTCCGGACAGCGCTGGCTCCCGGCCTCTTGAGCGAGATGAGCGCGCAACCCTAGAGTCGGTCACGACTGGCCTGTACGGGCAGGGGTACCTTTACCTTTACCTAATTTGTTTTAACTCTTTTTAGTACTGAATTTTAATAGTTGCAATCCACTCTGAGATCTGCGCTGGTAAAGGGCAGGTAATTAATAATAATAAAGGTGATTAATAATAATAAATCTAGTTACGTTGCCATACGGAAGAAAAAAAGGCATGGCTTTTAAAGTTGGTTGCCTTTTGCGCCTGCTCTTAAGCCTGCTAGTAATGTCATTGAAACCTTAAGTTTTGTCTGTGCTTGGACCGACCACTGCACGTCTATAGTGTGACAATCTCACATGGTAAGTCACGTCAGAGAAAATGTTTCTATCTCACAAAATGGTTGTGCAAAAACTTGTAAGTTTTTAGGTGTTTGTTGTTGTGATGCTGGAAATTTTTAAGGGGACAGAAATGTCTCTGTTTGTGACTGCTTTGCCTGTAACCTAGAACTGATAAAACCTGTCTGTCTGGTAGGATCGTGATGATGTACCTAAAGGTATAACTACTTAAACAAGGTTAGAACAGAGCCCTGAAAATAATTTAAATTCATTTCTCAATCACATTTACATTCTCTTTTCAAACATCCTCTTAGGAAAATGGTCCCTAAACTACGCTCTTAGAGAAACACACACACACCCTTTAACTGTTCTTGTTATTGTTTGTGACTCCTTATTATCCACACCCAGGAATTCTTTGGGTCTCGTTAATACGAAAGACAGCCTTCTTTAGCCCCTGTCTTTTAAAACTGTCAGATAATTACACAGTTGGCTTTAGAGTTTAACTTGTCAAAGGAGTTTTCATTACTTTGTTCCTTTTGGGCAACCTGCCCTATTGTGTTCCTGGAAGACTAAACAGAACCTATATTAACTGTCAGTTAATTATACACCATTTTTTCCTTCAGCCTTTACCAGTCAAAGGGGCAGGTAGGCTGCAATCCTATCATCTCAATCACTGTCTTTTGCCACAAAAGAATCAATAAAGATGAGTCACATAGTGTCACCTAGCGTCTGATACTCAAAGCCACCCATTCCTAATTGCCTTTAGAGATGAATGATAATGAAAACTTTGAAGTGATAATCAGTCTAATGAGTGGTCTTGCTGAGAGGGCAGATCATGTGTCAGTAGAGTTTGCAGATGCTTAAAGGCAAACAAAGCCCACTTTCCTTTTAGAGCTGAGAAGACCCTGGCGAGTCTGGTACCCAGAGGCCTGCACAATGACAGAGACTGGCTCTCAGCGGGATGCTGAAGCCTGCGGATCACAACTGACTCCATCCATCTTGCTCTTTGCCTTTTAATCAACCCAGTCAGAGCGAACACTCTTGGATCTTGTAGCGTAAGTCTATAGTCGTGGCTTAACATGGGTTGTTTGGATCAGAACGAGAAGCATGGCAACACATTCCTTCTCTTTGGAAAATGTTTGATTTAAGCAGTGGCAGAAACTTCATGGGCAACGTTTGGGAAGCCTAGCTAACAGTTGTGGCCTTAAATGCAGGAGAGCAGGGCAGCTACATGACAATAGAGAGACAATAAAAGGTCGTTCAAACAGCAGTGAAAACCAACATCAGCACAAAAAACAAAGGCGGTGTTTGGTTTGCTAATAAGAGGCTGAGGGGCTTTGTGTCACAATTCCTGAAATGTGTCTTCATTGCCGTGGGTCATATATTTCCTTTTCCTTTTTTTCTGTTTATGAATGGAAAGATAGGAAGTTTGAGAAGGCTGCTTCTAAAAGTTTGAAGTAAGACTATAAAAAGAACAATGAAAATATTTGGAAGTGTTATATACAGATTGCAAGTTCCTTTACCTTGGGATGCTCTTCAGTAAGAGAGGAAACTAGTTCAATTTCTGTCTTCTGTCCCAAAACATATTGGGATAGTCTTGGACTTTAAGTCAACAATTCATCATGAACTAAAGTAATAAGAAGTTTTAAAAGCAACTCTATTCAAAGAAAAGTCCTACTGAGTTTAATGGGATTCACTCCCCATGATTTCAGCCCAGCACTTACACAGGCTCACTGCTTTGAGGCACTTTTTTGTCCAGTTCCATGTGGAACCCATTCTTGGTAATGGCTTCCCCATTTATGTACTGTATTAGGAAAAGGAATGTCACATATATTCTTTCGTATGGTTTTCTGCTCAGCCTTCAAACTGACTGACAGTGTAAACACTCCTGAATTTCTTTAGCTGCAGTGATGGAACCAGTGGTGTCATCGCCAGAGGCTTTCTGGAGAAAGTCCATTTGAGCCATAATATCAATGTTTGGCTGATGGGATTAATCAGTTCATGTTAACACAGTGATTATCATAAAGTAAAGGGGGAACATTTCAAAAGAATAATCCAGTCTGAGAAAGTGAAGCAAAATCATTTGTGCTTCCAGAGAGGTCATGGTTGAATTATCACAAAACTCTCTTTATTCAAAGCAGATGCTTATTATGATAAATTTAGTGTGAAAAGTGAAGCAAAATGCATATAAAAGACATTGTCTCCTCAATTATGTAATAAGAAACCACCTCATTATATATCCACCAAAGATGATTGTATTTTACTAGGGGCTGTATAACTACAGTCTGCCAAAAGCCTCTCACAGTCCTCTTCCAATATTTTACATAAAATAGCATACTTCTGAGAATAAAGCCAAATGACCAGTAACAGAAGAATCTAAAATAAACATCATTTTAAAGACGCAAAAGGCATTTCTTACTGTCTCCATCATGTATATTCTTCCTATTGTTAATATACATGCATGAAGACATGTTCGTTTTGCTTTCTGTTCTTGAGACTATAAAGCACATAGCAGCCAGCCGAGAACATTTCCTTGTGCATTTTATAAAATGCCTGCAATCCTATCAATGCAATGCATTTTAGAAGCGCTATTAATGCAGCCCCACTTAGCTTCTGCAGGCCACAACTGAACCTTCTGAAAGGCTCCTGGCTGCCACCAAAAACAGCAGCCTTATTGTGCAGCAATACAAAACATATGACATGGTGCTGCTGCACTGAGAATCTCTCCCCACCCCCAAAGGAGGCGGCCAATGAAGAGGAGGCCCTGCCCGAAAAGCCCATCAGATGTTTCATATTATGTATGGGAGAAAGGAGAATCTGAGGTGCTCTTTTCAGTGGCAGTACCATGTCCTAGCCCTAGTTCCAACTTTCATCTGCACAACTATTTGTAAAAAGAAGTTTTACAGCCATTTTACTTTCCTTTGAGAAACAGTTCAGTAAATACCTGCCATAACCAGGAGGCTCAGATTCTTGGGCTCTCCTGCAGGTTTGCAAAAGAGTGCCTGCTTGGTTTGGGGGGGGGGGGTGGTTATAATGTTTACTTGCTTTTTGTTTTAGCGCCCTCCAGTGTCCCCGCAGGTGTACTGATGGTTTCTTTTCTGCTTTGTTCAATTAATTTGAAGATCAGCAGTAGAGAGCATCACACGCACACCCCACTTCTGTATGGCTTGCAAACTTTTGGAAGAATCCTGGAAAGAAAGTGAAGGCCGGATCCGCCACAAAGTTCTGTTGCACAGGGAAAGACACAGGAGGAAGGCGAAGATGCGGGAGCCGGGAGGGTCCACTTCTCAGGTAAGCAATGGGGAAATTTGTCAGAAGAAAGTTGCGGCAGGGGTGGCACGGTGGCGGAGATTTCTCTGGTGCTGTGATAACCCCCTGAATAATTTTATATGGGGTTTAATTTTCTGATATTAAAAAAGAAAAACGCAGAAGGTTGATTTTCTTCCCCACCATTGCAGGAAATTTGCACCCTCAAGAAGCTGAGATTTTCACGGGCTGCTAAGAACTTTTTGGTTCATTGGATATTTATGCATAGGATTTCTTCTCAAATGTCGCTGATATAAAGAAGCCCAAGCTGTGATAAACTGATGGCTGAAGAGGACTTGAAGTTCCTGCCAAGGCAAAGGTGGCCATCATCTTAACAGATGTACTCAATTTTGAGTGTATTGATTTAACTCCTGCATAAAATATGGTATAAGCAAAGAACAGAAGGGGAAAGATTTGAATATTTACTGTGTAATTGTATCATACTAACTAAGGATATGTATGCAATATTTTATTTGTATGGGACCAACAGGAAAAAAGTTTACTTCCATCCCCATATCTTGTAGCACCTGAAGGCAAACGAATTTATTATAGCATAAGCTTTTGTAGAATACTAAGGTAGATTTCCCTGGATGCACATAGCGAGTGGACATGCTTTAAAATGTGCTGTAAGATACAGCGTTGTGGCCATATGAGTAACCTACATATGAATTTTAGGATCCTGTTGCTTCAGTACAAATAGGGAGAAATTGGTTCTTGTGACAGCTTGAACAGAAATAGATGAACTCATGGCAGTTACATCCTATGGTTAAGCATTTGAGTTAACAGGAGTAAAACTCATTCCTGACCCAGCCTTTGTGATCAACAACTTCTCTCTGTTTGCATTAAATCAAAAGGATTCTAAAATTCAGATATTATCTGTTAGCAACGTCTCCACAGTAAGTATGGGAAGCTGGTGAGTTTATTTATTCTCAACAAAAATTTGAGATATAAGCAAATATTATTCCTGTTTTTAACACAGATCATAGGTTTGAGAGACTGCTTCTATTTTAGAATAAATGTTCCTGTGATAATTCTACCCCTGCTAATAGTCTTCCTTTTTAGTTGCAACACCAGACATTAGAGCAAATGTAATATCAGCTAGGGGACACTAAGACTGATATGTAAAACTCAAATTAAAATTTTGATTATTTTATCCAGAAAAGCCAACACTGATAAAAGTTTTTAACATTTGTAAATGTGTACCACTGCCATCATCACCATCATCTTCCCACTACGATTTTTCACAGATTTTGCTGGTGTTTACAGTGATAAAAAGGATTGCAAAACATGTATGAGGAGAGATAACAGCAGGATAAAAAAATCTTGTTTCTCAATTCTCTTCATACTTAGAGCACAGACTCCCAGCCCACATTTCACTTTGGAAGTCTTTTGTGGTTTGACTGCACCTGGTATTCTAGGCAGCCAGTCTTCCCAACAATCAGGTAAATTTCATAATAAATTTTGTAATCTCATGCAGTTTTCTCTTGCTGAAACTTTCCATTATTCATTGTGGTGTTTACCTCTTTAGACAATCCATGCTGTGGTATGACCATACTCATTAAACCCCTCGTGCTAATGACATCAAAACTTGGTTCCTGCTATCACTGTATCCATCTATTTTCAGTTGGAAGGATATGTGAAACTGGACAGTTGGACAGTATCATCTTCTGCATTTTAAAAGAAGTAAGGACAAGGAAAAGGGTTTCCATGCAGCCAAATGCACACTGGAATGTGCACTGAAGTACAATTTCCACCGAAAGCCCTTCCTTGAGTTCTTAAAGTGCAGAACAATTTCAAATGTGAATGATTTTTCCAGATTAAATTACAGGTAACATCAGGATATCTTTTTTTTTGGGGGGGGGGGAACATGCAATCTTATGAGAATAATGGAAAGACTCCCTTATGGTAATACTTGGTGATACTTTTACTGCGTTTCTTTATATGCTTGTATATGATTAGTTACATGAATATGTGACAGAAACTGAAAGCTATAGTCTGAAGAAATTGAGTGTTTAAAGCAAACTTTAAGAATTCTGGAAATCTGAGGTAGAAGAATGCGAAAGCAAATGCTTTGAAAGTACTCCATGACAGGGCAAAGTAAACGGAAGTGTTAAATCTGGAGAGGGGCTGGAAAGAGGTGGGGAACCGAGGAGAAAGGAAATGTACAGCACAACTGTGTGCATGTTTACTTGGAAATAAGTCCCCATCTTCAACAGGACTTACTCCCAGAAAAGCGTGATAGGAGTGAGCTAGACCCATTTTTTGAGCTGCAATCCTAAACTAGGTCTGCATACATTACGATTTACCAAGCCAAATACAGCCTGCTAGTTGTGCATTGTGCCTGACAACTGTTTCTGCAATCCCAGGCAACTCTTGTTTGCGAGCCATGCTTAACTTGGTGGGTCACAACTTTGCAAGCTTGATATAGTGCTGAAAATCTAGAAGAATAAGAATATGAAAGTTTTTTAAAAAGATTTTAAAAAAACAAAAAGCAAAGTACGTATCTGTGCTGCATTAACTGTAAGGGGAAGTAGCTCACACATTATGTTTTTATTTATTCAACCTGGTAAGAATAAATTCAAAAGGCTGAGTTTTAACCCCTAATCAAAATGCATTTTTGCAGTTATTCTCCACCCCCATGAAGTTATCTCCTGCTGAATACAGTTTTGCCTCCCTTTTGATCTCTCCCTCCTGTTTGTTTCATCATCACTAGGACTTATAATTGACCTGTGCACAATTTAACACTCTTGCCTGTATCTCTGCTGCCACATTTGATTTTTTAATGTTGCTTTTGACCTATTATTAAGTTTGCCTCTTACTTCTATCTCAGTCATCACTGCAAAAGGCCACATGTTAATAATAAAAGGTGGGGGACAAGGCAAAACAAAAAAATTACGACATGTAATGCACAAATAAAGTCATTTGGCTCTTTAGGAGAGAATGTGCTGTATGTAGGCTTGGCATATGTCAGGAAAATTCCTGACATATCTTTGTTATCGGGTGTAAAAATGGCATCGGGGAATTTTGCTGAATTGGCAAAATGTCAGGGAAAACCCGGATGTATGGCAACGCGATGGAAAAGCAGTGGAAATAGCTCAAAAAGCTTAAAATCAAAAAGCTTAGGTTTCCCCCCAAAAAAGCTTAACAATTTTGGTGGGTATCAGGAATTTTACTTTTTGAAATAAGGCAACTCTAGGTGTATGTTTTGGTAACACCCCCACTGTTTTGCTAGCAAGTTCAGTCTCTGTATTGGGGAAAGAAGACTGGTTTTTTAAAAAATTCATCCCCCCCGCCCAATCTTGGTCATTCTAGTGAGGTTGCCAAAATTTAGAGTAGCTGTAATTACATTTTCTATTGATGTTTAACTTACTTTTACTCTTGGAAACTGACATCCTTAGTTGATTTTTATTCAGACAAAGTTTTCCCTGAAGGAATATGGAGAACATACACATAAAAGAGTTTGGCCTTTGAACACTTTTTCGTTTTCCACATTAAAAGTTAAAAATATAAAACGTCCATGATCACTGAAAGCAGTAGAGGCGGCAGTATACATTGGCCACTGTTGACTGAAGAAAGCCAACCCAAACTTCACCTTCTAATGCAATTAGAAGACTATGATTGCAATATTGCTAAAGCTAAGTATATCGCCATCTATTCCCTCCTGCCTGCCCAGGGGCGACGCAGCCCATTTTGTAACTGGAGGTGGAATTCCAAAGCCCCCTGCCCCCACGCCAAAACCTTCCTTACCTGGGTTGTGCAGCAGTGCCTGCAAAGTGGTGGTGACTGCAAGTTCCAGCAAGATCTCATGTAGTGTATGAGAGCTCACAAGATTTTGGTGAAATGTCAGTGGACGCCACTGCTGCTGTTTCTCCGCCAGTGCTAGAGGGGCAGAGCCCCCAAATCTTTGTGTTCCTCTGCCTGAAGCTGCTGCCTGAGTCCGCCTCATGGGCAGCCTGACCCTATGGCTGCCCCATGTAAGCTGCTGCTGTGGGCTGCCCAAAAGAAAGCTGGATAGAACAACTTTAAACATTAAGAACTGCATCATGCCCAGCCCTGGAATAATGATGCCAAAATGCATTGCATTGCTCTGCTTTCCTTTGAAGGACATAGCAACGGGGGGTGGTCTGGTTGTCTAGGCAGCCCAAGACCTCCATGCCCACTGCCTAGGCTTGTGCTCCTAGCACAGCAAAAACAATGTGGGAGGCAGCAGTTAGGTCTCTGCTGCCACAGGAGGCGCTGTGATTCTCCAGTACTCCCAGAGGGGCACTCCATTGCCTCTGGAGACAGATGGATGCCATCAACCACCAACAAAATTCCCTGCACTTCACCTGAAGGTCCCAGGGCATGGAGTCTTCTCCCCGCCACGCGGCATCTTTCTGAGAAATCACATAAATTTCTTCTAAAGCAATGTGTTTTAAACAAGATGTTGTTATTCTTGGGTGTGTGAGTTGGCATGTATAGGTTTGGGGAGTGGGTTGAATAATGATAAAGCAAAATAATTAGTGCCAGTTCTGTTCGTTTCAGACACCCTCAAGGGATGAGGCAACTGCTTTGGCTCGGCTGCCAATGGGCTCCTCCTCTCTCTGAATGATCTTCCAGCGGCTGCAGCGGAAGGAGAGATGCCCCAGAGCTGCTAACTCAATTGGCTCCTGTCCTTTAACTATCATCTTTGAGCTGCCATTCCACCTGGATGCAGAAAGGAACTGGGAGTCAGCGCTCACTCCATCAGCTTTGGTTCAGCTTCCATGTGGCCCCTCCCATCCCTCAGCTGTTTCCATTAAATTTGGTTATTGTAACCACTACTGTGTTATTAAAGGTAAAGGGACCCCTGACCTTTAGGTCCAGTTGCGGATGACTCTGGGGTTGCAGCGCTCATCTCGCTTTATTGGCCGAGGGAGCCGGCGTACAGCTTCCGGGTCATGTGGCCAGCATGACTAAGCCGCTTCTGGCGAACCAGAGCAGTGCATGGAAACGCCGTTTACCTTCCCGCCAGAGCGGTACCTATTTATCTACTTGCACTTTGAGGTGCTTTCGAACTGCTAGGTTGGCAGGAGCAGGGACCGAGCAACAGGAGCTCACCCCGTCGCAGGGATTCAAACCGCCGACCTTCTGATCGGCAAGCGCTAGGCTCTGTGGTTTAACCCACAGCGCCACCCACGTTATTATGTTATTACGCATCTTTAAAAACCACTTCGCAACCTTTATTGGTGTCTGGATCTACTTGTTTTCCTCTTCCCTCCCCTTCTCCTTTCCCTTTTGTGCCGCACCTTTTAGATTGTGCAGAAGGAATGTGTTTCTGATCAGCGCTCAGTGCAACTCTTTTAGCACTTGGTAAATTTTATGAACTTTATAGATTACAGTGGTACCTCGGGTTACATACGCTTCAGGTTACATACGCTTCAGGTTACAGACTCCGCTAACCCAGAAATAGTACCTCGGGTTAAGAACTTTGCTTCAGGATGAGAACAGAAATCATGCTCTGGCGGCATGGCAGCAGCAGGAGGCCCCATTAGTTAAAGTGGTGCTTCAGATTAAGAACAGTTTCAGGTTAAGAAGGGACCTCCAGAACGAATTAAGTACTTAACCTGAGGTACCACTGTAATCATTATCATCATATGCATATTCTATTTACCACATAAAAACAAGGGGCACAGCCTTCTGCAAGGATCTTTTGTGCAAACCTCCTTGGTATAAAGAGGGGTTCTCAAAAACTCCTCTGGAACTTCCTAGAGCTCTTGTGCAGTTCACATTTGTTCCAGTGAGGAGATGGTGGATCATGTCCCCGATACCGACTACTAAGGTAACAGAATATCTTCTTTCCTGCATGCTCTGCACATATTTTCAGGGAGCTTGATTAGCACAAAGTTTGCCAATTTCCCCCAAATTTAAGTGGGATTTCTTTTTCACTTTCATAAAGTTGCTGAGTTTATTTTGAATGGGGGCCAGTGAATGTGTCTGATACTGCTTAGTCAAACAACCCAACAATTTCCAAATATGGCTTCTTTTGTTGACATGCCTTGATTACGAGTAAGTGGTATAAGCAAACTGCCTCAAAAAGAGGTTTTCAGCATTAGAATTCAACACATGTGAGCTGTTGTTCTTCCCATGCCAGGAAAGTATGGAACAAATAAAATATACTGAATATAACTTTATTACAGAATCGAGCCAAATTATGCCTGTCCCAGCAAGAATTTACAAAAGCAAAGCAGCTTCAGCTGGTCTGAGTCATGACTTTTGTGCATCTGGGGTTGTCACTACAATATTGTAGCATGTTTCTCTGGGGATACTTCTACCTGCAGTGCTTTGAGGGAAAGAATGTAGTTCATTGTGTGTATATGCGTGTTGTAGAAATATAGACCAAACTAAAAATCTCGAATTTCAAGGGGAGGCTTTTTTTATAGCCATTATAAAAGAAGCCATAGTATATACTCCTAGAGTCTCTCTTCTCAAAACTAAGCTTTAAACCTTCACATCAAGGTACCTGTGGAAGTGCAAATCACATCTAAATGCAGTTACTGTACACAGGAAACCAAGATCAAGTTCAAACGCATCTGAGCACAAGTTTGAAAAAGCACTTTTTAAAGCAGTTAGTCTTCAAAGCTCTCTCTCTCTCTCTCTATGGGAGGAGGGGATCTGAAAGTATTATGTACCTAATAAGGTGGACCAGTTCAATCATCTCCTCTAACCTTTTTTAAAAAATATATTTATAGAGAAGCCTTTCTTCCTTTGGGCCAGAAATCAAGACAGGATTTTGCCACTGTATTGTCTATCATTATAATCTGAAAGTGCTGGTACTGCTGTAGTATTCTGGCTACAAACTTTTAAAACTACATATATTTTCAGGAAATTAATCTGTACAGTATGATCTTCCATGATACCTGAGTACAAGTTGTCTACTTGGATGAATATTAAAATTTTCCAAAATCCTGAAAGCATTGTTCCTGACTTCATTTTGCAATAAACGTGTGGCAATGGCCGTTTTCATTATGGCTAAACATGAATGCAAAAGTGTGCAGGTACTCACAGCTTTGCTTCTCTTCCAGTCCTACTGCTTTTAGCTACGTCGAGATTTTGATCAGTCTTATGTCAAAACCTGGAGTTGTACTTTGTCTCTCTAAGACATACTGTGAGTGGTAAGCTAAGGATGGACCTTGACTACAGCTCATGACTTGTCTGGAGCAAAACAATGAGCCTGACTACAGCCATAGGCAAAAGGTAAAGGACCCATGGGGTTGTGGTGCTCATCTTGCTTTCAGGCCGAGGGAGCCAGTGTTTGTCCACAGACAGCTTTCCAGGTCATGTGGCCAGCAGGACAAAACTGCTTATGGTGCAAGTGGACACCATGACGGAAACCAGAGCGCACGGAAACGCCACAGCGGTACCAATTTATCTACAGTACTTGCACTGGGACTTCCGGGTTAGCGCCATCGACAATGGCGGATTCCCTCTGAGCTCCGGAGGGAATCGGCTCCGCAGGATCGGGTCTTGCCGCTGCGGCGAGGCGGGGACCCTTAAAAATCACAGGCGGTGAAGCCTGTGAGTGTGGTGACTTGGTGGGCACCATTTGCGCCCCCCGACCTGCGAAGGAGCCTTTTTAAAGGCTTCGGAACGGGGGACGGGGTGAGCGACGCGGTGCTGAGAGTCGACTGCTTCTCCTGCAGAGTGAAGCCGCACTGCCATGGTCGGAGAGCGCTGACTTCTTCTTGTGAGCAATTGGACTTTAAAGTAACAACCCGTGAGTAGTACGGAAATTGGAATTGTAAAGAAAATTTTTTATGAATTAGGCACGATCGGGGAAGGTGCAAACAGGAAGTCCCCCTCCCCTCCTTGTAAATAATTTAAAGCAAGGACCTGCTAACTAAGGTCGAGAGAACCCCTTTTTTCCCTACTTTGGCAAAAGACTTTAATTTCACGGTTTGGCAGTATAAGAAATCTTACTGGAGGATAAAGAGCTAATTTTGGGAGCTGAAGTGCCACCCCCCAGACCCGGGAGTGCTCCGCGAGAGAGCCTGTTGATGAGGTATTGAAGAGTTTGACAGCTGTCAAATTAGCTGTCAAGACGGAAAAAGAGAACTTTGTTTCTGTTGCTTCTGCTGGTTATATTTGTTACAATTTTGTTACAATTTGTTGAAAACAAGGAAGAGCTGATACAAACTAACTTGATTTTTGGATTTGAACTGGAAGGAATATCAAGGAACCAAAATCCCTCTAGAGGGGTTTTTGGGACATTACAAGAATGGCTGGAGGAGGGAAAATTCAGGCTGAATTGGACAGAGTATTTGTTCTCTTGGGAAAGTTACAAGGCCAAATTGATGTTTTGGCTACAAATGTTACAACTCTGGACTTAACAGCAAACAACATCATTGAATTGGATAAGGATTTGAATCAGGAAGTCTATTCAACTGGACAAAAAGAGAAACTTGAGAGCTTTGAGAATTTGGAGAAGGAGATATCTGTTGTCCCTGAAGAAAAGGAAGGAGGAGCTGTAATTTTGCAGATGACAAAGGAGAGCTTGAGGCCTGACATGATGGCAACAAAGGAAAATAAAAACTTGATGTGGAAAATCTGGTCTGAATTGGAGATTGAAAAATGGAGAGATCTCCTTAGGTGGAGATCTGAAGATCTAAGGATTACAAATTTGCTTAAGGTGGAAGTTGGAGCTTTGGGGACATTTGGACTTGAAAGGAGTAAGAAACAAGATTCGGGCTCCACTTTTAAGTATGGAGGTCTGGCTGGAAGAACATGGATCCCGTTGTGCCAGAGCTTCTGCGAGACTTGGTGTTCAATATTAAGGACTATCAAAAAAACCGGCAGAGAGGAATTGAGAGAGAATTAAGAGCCTCGGACGTGAGATCACCAGGCTGATAGTAGATTAAGACTGTTGGACATTTGTTGGGGACTGAAACCGGGAAAGGGGGGGGTGGAGTTTGGGAATCCAAAGGGTACATAATCACAATATGTTCTGTTTTTATTTTGTTTTGTTATTTGTATGAAAATTGGGGAATTCGTGAAAGGGAACTTGGGTCGACTTTAGAAAAAATGTTTTAAGAATGAGTATTGATGTATAAGTATTGATGTCTAAGTTTGGATAAGGCAAAACTGGTTTTTTAAAATGAACCAAATAGAAATAGGTTAAAAATCACGGATAAGGATTTGCTGAACTAACAATTTGAATTGGAATACAAGAAGGGGAGATATGAGGTGGTCAGGGAAATATGACATTGAAAAATAAGTATTGTGAACTTTATGTGTTTTAAAACTTTTTTGCTTTTTCCTTTTTGATTTTTTTATTGTATTAAATTTGAAAACCTTAATAAATATCTTTTTAAAAAAACAAAACAATTTATCTACTTGCACTGGCATGCTTTAGAACTGCTAGGTTGGCAGGAGCTGGGACAGAGCTATGGGAGCTCACCCCATTGTGGGGATTCGTATTATGTGCAGACATAACACTAAGCAAAAGAAACTGCCATGAGACCTGCAGGTACAGGGTGGTATACAAATTTAATAAATAATAAAATGGAACAAGGATTGGAAAGTATCCAATGTAACACCAATTTTAAAAAAGGGATCCTGGGAATTACAGGCTGGTTAGCTTCATCTGTCCCAGGAAAACTTGTGGAAAGTATCATTGAAGTTTCAATAATTAGTAAAATACTGCTTAAATGAAAAAGTGTTGTAGCACTTTAAAACTGAGGGGAAACAATAAAACTCTGAAGTAAAGACAAAAAAAATTCCTTCCAGTAGCACCTTAAAGACCAACTAAGTTAGTTCTTGGTATGAGCTTTCGTGTGCA